TGATAAGGCGATACGATATTGCCAAAGCTGTTCACGGCCGCACTGCAGTAGATAATGAGTCGTTCGAGAAGAGCATATGCATCGATGGAAACTTCCTGTCAAACCTTGGTTTCGCAGATGACATTGTCTTGATTTTGCAAGCACCACTGAAGCAAAGACAATGTTTCAAGGATCTTGATGAAGCGGGAAAGAAAATCGGACTACGCATAAATCTCATGAAGACCCAGTTCATGAAGAATCACTGGTGCAATGATGAATATCTGACTAGATGAGTCTTTGATTACGCTCGCTCGCTAGATATGGAGGACAACATGAGGGAGGAACTAGACAAAAGAAGGAAAGCAGCGTGAACTGCATTCGGGCATCTCAAAGACGCCACCGATCAAATAACGGACCTCAAATTAGGCGCTAACCTTCTAATTCAGCAGTCATCTCAACACTCAGTTATGCAGTGGAGACGTAGGCTGATACTTCGACCACGTCAAGACTACTGCGAACGACTCACAGAGCGCTTGAAAATATGTCTTCTAAAAATCAATTGGCACTTACAACACGTAGCCGGCTTGCACAGCTCAGATCTCAGAAATTTATCCTGTCTTCGTGATCCAGAAGAATTTGTATCGGCGAAGCATAGATGGCCCGGTCATATATTAAGAAAACAGGTGACAGATGGTTGCAACGAACTGTAGAGTGGCCGTCACTAGAACATACCTGTCTCTGAGGACGATCACCTACACGTTGGGCGGATGTGCTTTCTAGAAGAATTAATCAACTGTATTCATATGTGTATTCGCGTCTGTTGTATTCGTACCTACCGATATTCTACGGTTCACGGTATGAGACTCGCACCGGTGGTCGTGGTCGAATGAAACCACCGCAACAGACGACAATTGCGAGAAAACGAGGCGATTAGAAGATAAGGTGGGGCGCACAATTCGTAAGGACGGACCGTCCAAGTATCCAAGTAAGCAAGTTTTAAATGTACTCTACAAGCTTTTGACAAAGATCATTCATTTGCAACATCAAAGACCTTGGGTGAGGCACACTTAGTTGAACTAGCAGGATTGCGAACGGTATTCAGCTGCACGAATCACATTCCAAACCGTTTTACTGGTTAATAAGGTCTACTGCGGATACCATATGGCTCTTTTTCTATCATATATTGATTATGAGAGCATTTGGCATTGTGGAAGCATATATAATCCCATCAACGCTCACAAACAATGTGGATCTTAACGCCTTCTTACAAGTGGCAGTTATTCACTAGAATGTATGATCTTCCGGTATCAGGCCCTCTGTATGTACGAGTCCCATAGTAGTAACTCTTTTTCTAATGCTTTTCTGTTACCCATGCCCTGTTTCGACCCCTTGAAAAGAAAGCGTTTTTACAGTTGTGCTCAAAGTCTGAGAACGTATTCGATAGCTCGAATTTAAGAAAAAAAAGTTTTATGGTTTATTGTATTTTCAAAATGGCTTTGACATTGCGCCTTGAGAGCGAGAATATAATTTTGTTTCTCATTCAAACATTTCTCGCTCACTACAGCTTTTCCTATAGACTTTCAATAACCATTCGATAGCTAAAATCTTGCTTATTCCATTGGTTCGTTTGGTTCTCAAAAATGATTTCTTCTTGCTTTGCGACAACTGAAGAAAGATGGGTTGAGTAAATTCGGCACTGAAAAAGCAGGATGGATTAGCAGCTATATTACGAAATTCCTATCATCTACATACCGGCAGAGCACGGTGGTTTATTCAATGTCCATGTTTCGCTACGCAAAACTCAACACTCTTCTAGCTGCCACGGCGCATTAGGAAGTTTTTTTTTTAAAGCCGAGCGTATTATTGGAAGCTACGAAGTTCAAGCAAGCGAATGATTGATTAAAGTTGAAGGAAAAGCTTTGTCCAGCGAAACGTTTAGAAGAAAAACATCGTTTCATTTTTGCTGTTGAAAAGCGATAGTAAAGCCATATTGAAAATGAATTACACTGTCGAACTTTTTTAGATGTGTGCTATTGGATAGTTGTCAGGACTTGGGAAAAAAGCAAAGGGACGTTTTTCTTAATGGTTTTAAGAAAGGTGAGGATGGCGAAAATTATCTAAATTTGCAAAATATAATCTTCTTTTGGCTGTACGGTAGGCAGTTCTTCCAAAAACCGAGTACAATCCTGAGATTTGATCTATCGATTAGATATTGAAAGTCTGAAGAAGTAATTTTGTTCAACAAGGATTGTATGAGTGAGGAAGAAGATTTAATTTCGTTTTTTATTTGTCCGCCTTTGGCGGTGGATGCCGACAGATATTGAGTTCCAGTCATTTAACATAATTCTTTCTTATTTGACCTTCTTTAGCGGTGGGCAGTAGATAAAGTCTCGGCATTCATCAGTCTCTCAATCAATCCCTGAGGAATGCGCTATGCATTCATATTCAGTTTAAACTACGTTTGAGGTGATTGATTGCATACTTCGCCTTCATAATGACTGGCGGGACCACCCACTGAACCGAATCAGTGCTGCTTATCCCTCCAGACAAATCTGAGACCGATCTGGTAGCAGGTTATCGACTCTGGAGGGATGGATGGCTTGGTGAGCCATGAGAGCGAGATCAAGCCGCTGACCTCGTGTGCGACGCAGAGCACCTCTAATCACTGGACCGAATGAACTCTTTAGGAATTGTATGATGTTACAATACACCCAGTGATGTGGAGTGATTATGTTTAATTATCGATACCCAATATCTCCACAGATTTCCCTTCGAGGGATCCCGTCCGGTTAGTCGCGAGTGCCGTGGCGCGTCAACAGTGTGGGTAGGAAAACTCAACGTGAGCCAAAGTCGACCTCGTGCTTCCACAAACGCAGGTGAATTCAAAGGGTAAGCTCCTTGTTTCTGCAGCGCCCATTTGACAAAACTCTAATTCTACGAGTCAAGTCGACCAAAAGCTTGCAGTCAAGAGGTTGGAAAAAACGTGAGAGGCAATTAGGAGTCTCCTCCAAGAAATAGGCTTCTCCCGCTTCTCCGATCGAGACTCGCGAGCTAGTCGTGAGTGCTCAGTCACCACATTTAGAGCCTGATAAGTTTTACGTTGTGTATCAAAGTGCAAAAACAGTAACAAATATGGGCCTCATTTCCCTGACCACGAATGAATCACCAGTACGCCAGCGTAGAGCTGGACGAGTACGGAGAAGTTGTTAAAATCACAGAGCCAAACTAGGCTGCCAAAATCGAAGCAAACTAAAGTGATGATCTGTACCTAGAATGGAAGAACACTTGCTCAAGAGTCCGCTGTGGAAGATCTATTGATTCAAGCAAGAAAGGTAAGATGCGAAGTCATTGGCCTGGCTGAGACGAGAGGACGCCATTCTTTTCACGCTGTTTATGATGCCGGAAAAAAGCTTTTCCTTGGAACATGCAATGGCGGATATGTCGGCTGCGTTGACGTCCTCGTCAAATTGAATTTGGCCGTGAACATCTATTGACTTAAACAACTTACAACATCTAGCAGGCAACTGTTGCTGAAGCGATGTGGTTCAATGCCGGTTTTGATCATTGTCGCTACTTACAAATCAACATCAAGCTATGACGGAGACGATGTCGGAGCGTTCTATATGGACCTCGAGAAATTCTCTAGAGAAAACCATACATTCATCAAGGTCATTGTTGAAGATTTTAACGCGAAAACTGGATCTAGAAGAACGCCTAAAAAACGTCACATTGAGACCCATGGTCTAGGATGGAATGAACAGGATCAAAGGCTATCTGCGTTTATCATAAAGACTCACATCATCCATGGTAACTCGCAATTCAGTAAGCTTCACTTTCAACGATGAACGTGAAAGTTTCCCAATGGAGAAGGCTATAACGAAATATACCACATATTAGTAAATCGAAGGCTTTGCCTGTCGCTGCTGTTTCTAAGTTCCACACGTAATCACACCATGGTCGCCTTCGTTGAATTGAAGAAATCCTTCAATTCAGTGGAAACAGAATCGGTTCTGGTGACTCTTTATAATCAGGGTGTCCTTACTCAGTACATGGTGGTCCTTCCTGAGCTATATAAAAATTTTACGACCATATATCTCCATTCTACAACAATATCACAATCGACGTAAGAAGTGCTGTTCGATAAGGCAAAAAAATTTCTCCAAAATTATTCGCTGCCACTATCCAGAACGTCATGCGAACATTAGAATAGGACGATATGGGAGGAAAATTGACGGTTCAGAATCACGCCATCTTCGCTTTGCTGATGATATCGTCCTCATAACGCCAAGCATCAGTCAAGCGGAATGAATGTTGACCGATTTCGAGAACGCCTGTAGAAAGATTGGTTTTTAACTAAATCTAACGAAAACGATGTTCAAGAGGAACGGATAGGTTTTGAGTGCCCCATTCACGCTCAGCGAAGCAAAAACCTCCGAATGCTCCATTTACGTCTATCTAAGTAGTGAAATCAACACGATGAACGACCTAGCTTCAGAGCTGAACAGGAGGAGACGAGCGGCTTGAGGAACGTTTAAGAGCATTGAAGATGTAGTGAAGAGAACAAAAAGCACCCGTCTCTCTTCACCTTTTCGACTCGCCAATTATCCGTGCCCTAACATATGCAGCAGAAACCTGGTCGCTACGTAAGCAGTGTGAAAGATCACTTGACGTTCTTGAACGAGCAGTTGAAAGGTCGATGCTAAGAGCATTCCGTATCTCACAAATGAGGGAATTGATCCGAAGTTCCGACCTTCGTCAAAGCTCGAGGATCGAAGGCGCTGTTCTATACGGCAGGATCTCGAAAATAAGGTGAACAAAACACATGATGCGCCTCAACGACAACAACGACAACCGCTGGGCGAGAGCTGTTACCAACTGCATTGCTCCGGATATCAAGCGCTCTACGGGAGAACACCGATCCGGTGGTCCGATTTCTTCACGAAAGGCACAGAAAAAAGATATGATGCTCAACGAATTCCTAGAGCATCCCTACACCACTCTTTCTACGTTGTGCAAAATGGGCGTCAGTAGTGCAGCAGGTTAGAGCACGCTCTCCTGGATAGAATGGACATGTGGGCTCGAGTCCCGCCTGACACGAAAGATCTGCGCATCACTCAACAACATTGGGCATATCCATAACATCATACCACCGCGAAGAGCAGTTGGTAAAACGAATTCCATGCTTTTTTTTACTTGACCGCATTTCGCAGTGGTGTGATGTTATAGTATGCGCAGCGATGTAGAATGATTATGTTTGATCATCGATACAAAAGATCTGTCACATCAGCGCATAGTGTCGACAGCGAGCTCCCAAGATAGACCGTTGACATAGGTCGCTGGCAGACGGATGCGTTGCAGCGTAGAAACAGTGGTGTCAAAATGGACGTCAGTAGTGCAGCAGTTCAGCACGCGCTTCAGGAAATAGTGAATTGTGGGTTCGAGTCTATACTTCTGCAAAAGTCTTCCAAAAATTTTTCTTTGCTGTTTCAGCGTAGAAACAGTGCCATTTGGAAACAAAGCACGCCATCTAAATTCTTTTGATTTAAGCTATCGAGCGATAATAATCTCTAAAAACCTCAAAAATCGTTCTTCTTGGGAGGTCGAAACAGGGCACAAAAGATCAAAAAGTACTCTTTTTTATACAGACAAACTATTGCAATCTTTTGCTGATTACTAATTGTAAGTGGCTACACATTTCGTGACCTCCTTCGAAAGCAACCAGAAGTGGTTCTGTTTTATTGGCGCCATCTATTCCTGAGCTGTTTCTAAACTGCTACTGTATTCGACTACTGATGAATCAGTTTAGCTTCTTGACAGTGAATTGTCTAAACGTCTCTAGTCAGTAAATGTATGTTCTGCAATTGAATCGAAAATGTCATCTAAATGGTGCACAAAATGCACTGTTCTCATACATCTAAAAACAATAGTTGATTTTTTTAACCGACTTCCACCGGGGATCCAGTGTTCCACATTACTTACCTTTGCCCTGCTAAATATCATCACTCTCGTTCTGGTTTTCTTTGATTATTTGATGAAGATCGGGGGCGCCGTGCCGATTGGTTGTGATGCTGGTCCACGCGCGAGTGGAGCCGAGCCCCACCCCATCTCCGGCAGTCAACAACAACGTCTTATAGAGCGTCACAGAAAAGCTATCCTCGGGATTGCAGGAAGACACGCTCAACCAGTATATTACGCCGTTCAAGAAGAAGGCGAAAAACGAATTGAATGCTAGAAGTACAGGGATTTGCACAGTGAAAAAAGCATTGTGATGACCGATCAAATAAAGTCATAAAAGTAAGTATCATTTGATGGAGATCAGGAAAAATTATTACTGTTGCTAAACTCTTGAATTTCTTTTCTTCAACACACGATGAATGGATAAGTGAAATTGGATCTATATTCGCCTCCACCGCGTGTTCGAAACTCGGTTTTGGACTAGTAATTGAATGTTTAATTTTCAGTGGTTGTCATAAGGAATGATCGAACATCACAAGTGTTTCAGAATTCTGAGAAGGCATTAAGTAAGTCATATTCAGATTGAGATGCATGTGGCTGAGTAGTGAGAAAGTGCATGACACATTTTCTCGTTTGCCTCAACGTAGGTACTAAAGCCTTATCTCTCTTTGCAGATTAGTAAACACGTTTCTCTGGGAAGATGAAAAAAAGCACTAATTTTAGTGCATACGACTCAATGATGTCATTCTTCAAGCCAGGTATATGTACGTTCAATAACCTCTGCGACTTTTAACGGAATTCAACACATACATCTCTTGATGAACACCAAACGTTTCATCGTCCCATAGTCAGCATACATGCATGGAGAATAGTGACCGGAGAAAAGTTATTCCTTTTCATAGCACGCGGGATATGGACGTGCTTTAAGATTTGCCCTAAAAATCAAAAAACTTGAAGAAATAAGTACGATGTGAAGACGAGATAAAGAGTATTTCAATCACAAATAGCAAATTATAGTGGGCTTAGTTATCATTTTTTACTGTAACGACAAATATTTTGATGAGGAGTAGTGATAATTCTACATGCTGTTTTTAACACTACTGACTATTTTGACTGCCCAAATCTCTTTAGTGAAGTCAAAACACTAATCAAGCAACGCCTCACAAGAAGGCCGGCGTCACAGAAGTGTGCTATTATTAGCATTCGCAGCAATATTCCACAAATTTTGAAAGATCAGGCATCTTTTAACACATGGCAATATCTTGAGCATGAAAACTTGATAAAGTTAGCTCATTTTTGTTCATATTCATTTTTTTATTCATAATGTAGACGCCAAATCAGTAGACAGAAAGCTACAGCAACTTAGTTTGGATCTCAAGTCACAAAACATATTATAGCTGCAATGAGATGACTTAGGTCATTCCAAGTGCCCATGTCAAAGAGATTATGGCTTGACGGTTCTACTATGACCTTCTGTTGTTGTTGTCTCACAGATTACTTGTGAATCGAGAAATCTTATAGAATGCCGGTGTTAAACAAATAAAAAAATCTTTCTCTGTTCTGAATGTAGCGGTGATCATCATCCAAGGTAAAGTTTCATTGAAAAACTTGAGTAGGAAAAATACCCAAGTAATTAGTTCTTTCCGGTAAAAAGTTGTGCGTGTCTCTATCCAAGAAATCTCCTTTTGTAACAACGTCAGAAAAAATCTTTTTCTAAAATCGGCGACGTGGGGCTGCAATTTCAAGTTTCAGCTTTCAAGTATTTACTAACACTCCTATTAAGAGTTCCTCTCCAGCGACTAAAGTCGGTTCTTCATTTGTCCTCTCCTGGTCGGAGAGAAGCGTTTTGTGCATCCCTCTACATCATCGGGTATGCTTGTAACATCACAGCAGCAATAAAAGCGGTCAAATAAAAAAACATTCTATTGTTCCGTCTTCACAGGGTTTTTTATTCACTGTGTTGATCCCAGACTTTCAGCATTCAATTCGTTTTTTCGTCTTCTTCTTGAACGTGGTGGAACACATCTCGATGAGCGTCTGCTACTACAAGATTTCCAAAGATTTTATGTTGAGATAAACTCTTTGTGATACAGGATACGACAGAGGTCGTGGCGTGATCGCTATTCAGCGCGATTGTCTCTTTCGAAGGAGATAACATCTACGAACATCATTTCATGATCTAATCAAAACACCCGATGAACAACGCACAATTGAGTTTTTTCTTTGTTTTTTTTCCAAACACAGTTCTACTTGAGATTTACTAGACATATTGTGACAATTTTTCACACCTTCCTTGTAGCTGAAAACTTCTTACCGAACCAACAGAAAAATACTTAGGAATCTGGTGGTCTATCTTCATGAGCAACGCAGGCCACAGCACGTTTTTCTATTCGAATATTTCGCTCATCATGTCGGCTTACTTCATTCACTTTAACATCTCAGCTACCACTCCGTGATTCACAATTGCTTCCTCGCTGAGAACACATTTGCTTGATGTTGGGTACATGTCCACCCACAATCCATCTTTAGTCGCTCAAAAAATTGCTTGCGTTGTCCTATGCCCGTTGTACTGCTATTCTCGTCGATCTTTCATCAACTGTTTCTTTTTCAATATGCTTGATAATTATATTTGAGAAGCCTGTTCTAGGCACGTATACAGTGCAATACATGCGTTTCTCCCTTGCTAGTCTCGTCAGTGGCAGAGTGGCTTTCGTCTTAGCCAATATTTCTTTTTCATGACCGATTACACATATTGCAACACCTTTCCTTTCGAGTGCTTTCGAGAGTTCGCTCAAAATAGTATGACGTGATAGCATATTGATACTGTTCTACACACTACCACACTCGCTATCGAGCTTTTGATTCGCCTTACAACGATCACAGCATAATGAAATTTTGTGCTTCACTGCTTCTCAGTTGTTTTACTACTTTTTTACGATCGCTACGTATGACGGAAGTCACGCCAACATCTGATGGTCAAGCACGCGATGTGATGAGATATGATTGCTAGGAATTCGCTGTATATCATTTCATAAACTTCCAGCTGGCTGAGTAGCTGACTTGTAGATCACAAGGAACTCCATTTTACCCGTTCAGCTTCTTGGCAGAGTGACGTTTAAGATATAGTGTGAGTCTACTGGGTTATCGCATAATTTCTTACGCACTATTGTTTTATTCAGTTTCATTCCAAATCATCAGCTTTTCAACAACGCTGTGGTTCTCAAACGAATGTGCTGGTATAATGCGTTAACCTATTTTGAGCTTTTCATTGAGGCCTATTAGAACCCTTAGAAAGTGCTAGACACGTATTGCGGCTCTTCACCCTCATCACTAGCACGGTGCCTTTCGGTTCGGATGATCCTGGGAGAGATACACCCTATGTAGGAGAATCGATGCCGAACTGTTTACACTCAATGTACAATGGGAGAGTTACTGTGGCGTTCCCTTAGTCTAATCTATTATCAAATCCTCTCGGGGCGCTCAGTCCTTTGTAGTAAGAGTAGGCGACGACGAACATTTCCGGTGAAATTATCACCGAATACACAGTGTTGTACACTCGATTGCTCTTGGCTCAAAAATGACTATTTAGCATATTAGATTTTGAGCTGTGGTCTTATGAAAACACTCGAAAGAAGAGGTACGATATATCAATGATACCAGCCAAGAACAAACGAGTGTACAACACTGTGTGTCCGGTGATAATTAAACCGGACTTACAGTGTAAAATGTTTGTCTTCACCTACTCTTGGTATATGAGACTGAGCGCCCAGAGAGGATTGGCAAAAAAACGAAAAGGGTATCGCCCGAATGATGAGACCGTCAAGGTTGAAACACGTGTATCGGACTTTATAAGTCAGCCCTAACAACGGACCACTTGACATGCGTAGCTCAAAAATGATTATTTGGCTACTGAAATTTGAACTGTGGTCTTGAGAAAGCACTTGAAAAGAAAGGTATATTTATCATGGGTTGCACGGCTTGTGGCTGTTACTGAGTACATGTAATATACCTTTTAACCGGTTATTCTAAGACCTCTTTCAAAAATTATATAATCTGTTAACATATTTTGAGCTTTTCATGAGGTCTATAATGGTAGGTAGTAAGCCTTTCATGAGGTCTGTTATGACATGAACTCTCGATAA